ATGATCATATCTGTTAGGGTCTCAGGAATTGCGAGTTGTAGTCTAAAGTCGTCATCTTTAGTGAAGAAAAGTCTGAACAGTATACCGTCACAAAGAATGTACTCTTCTGCCTTTAATTTGACTGTCTTTGAAATGTCATGGGCGAGAAAGTCATAGACAGGTTTAAAGAACGGTGAGGTTTCCTGTTCCGTTTTCAGTTTTCTCATGTTTCAGTTTTCTCATGTCGGTGATCTTGTCTAGTTCATGTTGTTTGGGAACGTGTCTAGCTTTGATGTTGTCTACCTTTGAGGTAAATGGTCTAGAGGGAATGTAGAGGTCAGAGGGTACTTCACGGTAATGGTCATTGTGACTGTCATTGCTTCTGTCAACAAGTCGATGAGTTCTGTAGTGGGAACAGGTGGGGTTTGTCTGGTAGGAGGAATTGTGTATTCCTGGTTCTGTGGAAGGAAAGGACGGTGAACTCCACATGGGTGTATAGGGGGTGTGCCCTGTCTAGTAGGTCTGTGATTGGCTGGTTGTGGCGAGATAGTCCTACATGTAGGTGGCAGTGAGGGGGGTTTGGTCTGTTTTGGCTGGTCAGTTTGTCCTTGTGTTGTGGGATTCGTAGGGGTTTGTTCACACCCGTTAGGTTTCTTGGATTGATATCAGGAATAGGAATACCCATTTTCTTAGCATAGGCACGAGTGACTATGCGGTCAGTCTGTTGGGCTGGGTGTATTTGTTCATGTCAATTAGATCACTCTCGTCAAATAGGCAGCATACAATGGGGACAACCCTGTCAATCTCATCATGGTCGCCAGAAGGGGCTCGAGAAAGAAAATCTGCCAAAACAAGTTCAGTACCCTTTTTGTATCCAATTTGAAAGGAGTATTCAGATAATTTCAAAATCAATTTTTGCAGTCGTGTTGTGCACGGTGCATCTTTTGACTTTAAAATCTGGACAATTGAACTATGGTCAACGAATGCATTGAACTCACATCCTTTAAGCAAATGCTTAAAGGCTGAGATGTTGATCAATAGTCCAAATAGTTCCAGCTCTGTTACGCTGTATCGCTGCCATGCATCGGGCAATACTTTTGAGTAATAACCCATAATGCATTCCTGTCCATTGATAAGTTGTGTCAAGTAAGAGCCGGTAGCAGTCCGAGAAGTGTCACTGTATAATGAGAATTGTCCTGTACTTTGGGGCATGTGTAATACTGGAGGGTTGGTCATTAGCACTTTAACTTTGTTAAAGGCAGTCTCGTGTTCGTCAGTCCAGATGAATTTGCTTTTCTTTCTAGTCAGTTGGTGTAGTGGTTTGAGAACAGATTGTACATGTATATTGGGGAAAAATCCAGCAACATATTTCACTGCTCCCACTAGTCTCCTAACTTGTCTGGGGGTCTTCGGTTTGGGCATGCCATGGATGGCAGCACACCTGTCACGAAGGGGTCAAAAACATGCCTCTCCCACCTTATTGACAGTGATTCGGTGGCCCATATAATCAACATCAGTGCGGAAGAGCTTGCACTTTTTCGGGCTGACTTTCAGTCCGTTGGCAGAGAGGGCCTTTAGTACATCTATCAAGTGGGATCGATGGGAGGTCTTGTCTTGGCTAAATAGTATAATGTCGTCATGATGAGCTATGCAAAATTGCCTAGAATTGGGGATCGAACCCAAAATATCGTCAATTTTTGCCTGAAAGATAGCGGGTGAAACGTTTAAGCCTTGTGCCAAATGTTTGTAAAAGTAATGTTTCCCGCCATGGTATGATGCAATGCCTGTATACTTTTGAGCTGATTTGGATAGGGGGATAAAAATGAAAAGCTGATTTCAAATCAATCACACTAAGGACTTTTGTGTTAGCATTGCCAATTCGTTTGAGGGTTTCCGAAAGTAGGGGGAAGGGATGATTAATTCATTTAACTCTAGAATTGAGATACCGAAAATCAGTAACAACTCTCTTTTCGGAGGTGTTCTTTTTGGAAAGGAGGAGGACAGGTGAGGTGTATGATTGATGTCCTACTTCTAAAATTCCCAATTTGACAAGTTTGGTTAGCTCATATTCTATCCTAGCCTTGTCAGCCTCAGTTGCAAAGTAAGGTCGAAAGGAAAAATGGTTCGTCGTTAGTCAGTGCAATGTCTACTTCGAAGTTCGGGCAACTTGATAGTTCGCCATATAGAGAAAATGCATCTCTATTCTGCATGAGAATACGAACGATTGCCTGTCTTTCTTTCAGAGACAGAATACTCCCAGTCAAGTCAATATGTTTCTGTATTATCTCGTCTTCTGTCATATTGACGATGGGGTCACTAGGGTCAAGGTGGGGATACGCCTTAAGGTTGTCATGCCTGACTGAGTCTCTATGAACATTATCTTGTCCAGTGTACATGTTGTCCTTCAAGTTCAGAGTCATGTTTAAGCAGTGCATAGGGAGTTCTTGTGTTGCGTTAACAAGTTTGGTTGTATCTAAGAAAGCAATGGGTCTACCCTTAGAAAAGGTCATGTGCCTGTCAGTCAAGTTTGTCACCAGGACCTGAGTCCTTCCTTTATGTAGGGAAACAATACTTGTAGTGGGGCAATGTCGAGATAGGTATTTGTTAGCTGTCAGTACAATCTCTGAGTTACGCAAGTGAGCTGGGGTCTTACCTTGCAGAGTTGGGAGTGTCGAGTTACCTGGGGCAACTGTCACTGTAGTTGGAGGTGCAAAAGAAATATTCTTGGACTTGATCTTGAACCTATATTCCTGAAGTGAAGTGTTCCATCCAAATCAGAAAGGGTGTTGGTTCCCAAGAAAATCTACACCAACAAGGCTGCTTGCAATGAGTGATGTGATTTCGAATTTGTGACCCTGAATAACTAGTTGAAATTTCACTGCTCTATCCGCAATCAAAAATTGTCCGTTACCCAATTTGAATCGAACAGGGGCTACTTCGGTTGGTACAAGTTTAGATAGAGAGGGGGATGATTCCACGAATCGCCCGGAAATGATTGATTTAGATGCACCACTGTCAAATAGTACTAGTGCAGTCCTCCTATCTGGTAGACGTCCCTTTGTAAAGTTTCTCTCTGTCAGTTTTAAGTCTACTTCTTCAACTCCTAAATAAGTCGAAGTCATATCATTGTCAGGCCTATACTTAGACGTAGTCCGGGAGAAAGAACAATGAGCGCTATCGGCTCTCTCCCTTCTTAGAAATCCTGGGGGCGTTGTTGGTATTGTGGTTGTTGTGATTGCCGAGGATGGTGGGAATGTCGAGGTTGTTGTTGTTGTTGGTGATAGTATGGTTGGTCGTTATTGTAGGCAGGTCCGTAATAATTGTGTGGGGGAGGTGGTGGCGGTCGAGCCATATTTCTCAATCTTTTCCTACATTCCCGCCAAACGTGGCCTGGAATCTGGCAATAGTTACAAATGAGTCGTGCGGGGAGTCGTGGTCGTGATTGTTGTCGTCCGTTTCGTCTATTGTCTTGGCGATAGGGGCTCCTACCTCGTCTGTCATAGCTGTCATTTGTGCGTCTGTCGCGGCTCTGATCGTATTGTCTATCACGACTAGCGCTGCGATCAGCGCTTCGTTGTCGTGGAGTTGACGGTTGTCGACGTTGATCTCGTCCTCGATCATGTCGATTGTCGTCAGTCATGGTGGTCATTTTCAGAGAGTTGATTTGCTCTCTGATGTCGTCAATCTCTGACTGGGCAGAGAAAGTCAGTTCTTTGGCCTTAGTTGGGTTTGTCTTAAGTTCCAAAAACAGCTGCGCTTTCGCGGCGATGTCATCAGCGGTCAACGTGTTGAGGTTCGTTGTGGATGCCGACATCAGTATAGTCGCGCGGCATTCGTCCGGCAGTGCGTCAAGTAGTCGATGGCTTATTTGCGCTTCCGCGTATCCTATACGCGCTGCGGCCTGTCGAAGTCGTTGGAGGAACGCTTCCACGCTCTCCTCCGTAGTCATCGTCATAGTCGTGAAGTCTCGCGCATGAGTGTAAGATGATTTAGCGGGACTAAACCGTCTTACAAACGAACTTCGCAGGTCATTGAAGTCGTTAAAAGTTAGTCCATCTATCCAAAGTCGTGCTTGACCCTGGAGAGTCTGTTTAAATAGTTTTAGAATGGTCGTCAAGTTTCCAGTGTCGTCGATGTCAATGTCTTGGGCATCAAGATAGTCCGTAAAAGTCATGAAATGAGCGGTCACTTCATCACGGTCAATTTGGGTTCCAGAGAATCGAGTCGGTAAAAAGTCAGTTTGACGGAGGTTGTGTTGAGTAGTGGGAGTCGTTTGTGTAGACGTCATGGTTATTGATTAATGTAATTAATGCAGTCAATGGTCAACGAAATCAATACGAATCACAAACAAAATGATTAAGATGTATCGAGATAAAATAGCATACTAGGTATATCTACCAAATTATTTAAATGTAAACAACGCAAAATAAACGAAAAACTACATTTAGTCTCCTGTACTCACACGCTCTCATTCGCTAGTGGAACAATAAAAGAAATGGTTTCACTTACCAACCAGCAATGAAAGGGATTCCGAATGGGAAACAAATTGATTAAATGTCCTTCCGTAGTATTTTAGCAATAGTATTGCAAGAAAAAAAAGGTAAAGCAAGAAAGAAGTATAGAAAGAAAGAAAAAAAAAGTATAGCAAGAAAAAATTATAGGAAAAAAAATTAAGTGTCAATCAATTAAAGATTTTTTTTTTCCTTCTTCTTTCTTCACGCAATACATAATTTTGTACTTATATGATGCTTTGTATAGTAATAGTGAATATGACATTTTTTTTCAATCTTCATATTTTCTTTTAGAGTTACAAATAACTTGCATTAAACTTGGATGTATTGCTGGATTGGCATAGCTTAGCTCTTTTGACATTAACAAATTGTTAAAATGATGTTTATATGTTATTTATTCAAAGTGTTTGTTTTTATACTTCAACTTAAGGTGCACTTGGCAGAGACTTTTAGTATATTCTCATCCTTCATTACTCAGTTAATGACTCACAGATTACATCAATAACAATCTTTATGGAAAAGCCTGCCAGACCGACCAAGCCAGCTTTTATTCGAATTGTATCTTTTTGAACAATCATGAACAATCTTTGTTATTATATCATTTTGAACATCAAAATAATTTCAATTTTTTAACTCATTCTTGATTTTGAAAATATCAAGTGTAAATATTGTTAACATTGCATAATTTCAATCTCAATCGTCAACGTTCACACCTCAATATATACTGACATTGTATAGAATAAAATATTAATTTTGATCCCTAACCTGCATGGGGCTTTGCATTTTTTCCCCACGCCCGGACCGATTCCCTAGGTTGAAAAAACCAGAGATAAACTAAATAAGGCAAATGCTCTGGAAAAACCTAATGGCAAATCGTCCCAATAAAAATAATCTATTTGAATCTCTAAACCTCCTACAAAAACAAACACCAAACTATTGTTCTGTATTAAAATTTCCACTTGAAATTTGTGTCGTGTATCTAGTGTCTGACAAAGCTAGAATGGCTACCACGCCCATTTCCCTCTCTTATTATGCCTTTCTGAACATTCCTTTCCTTCTCAATACAATAACTTACACCTGCCTAAGTTATTCAAACCATCCCGCTTCGCGGAATCGTGGCGTCTCGCCACTCCCATTACGTAATCATTAAACGGATCCGCATATACAACACTTTCCTGCTATACGTTGTACCGCAGGAAAATACAAGTATATTCTCATCCTTCATTACTCAGTTAATGACTCACAGATTACATCAATAACAATCTTTATGGAAAAGCCTGCCAGACCGACCTAGATGTAAAAAAGAACGGGTGCATTTCCTTGTAGCACACTGAACAATTTAACAAAAAAATATTTAACAATCTATTCCAATTTAATCCGTCTCAAGATTTAAATGATCATCTTTCTTGAATATCCTTTTTGTCGAATATCCCTTTCTGATTATTTAACAAAACATAATCACTTAACCGTTATTTGCAGAAAAAATGTATTACATGAATTCATATAACGATTACTCTTTCCTTTCTTTCATTACTCTTCTTTAATAAAAAAAAACATATTGTCGGACATTATATCTGTTTTTCCAAGACAATTCATACTCCACATTCAAAATAAACACGTTTCCTATGATGGAAAACATTCATAATATGCCTAAAGCATTAAGGATTTTGTCACCTCAAGTTTATTATCTAATGTATCTACAACATATCCATCCTTCGCTTTATCTGTCTTCCAACGACCATGTATTTTCCACAATCTGTCTTTAGTTGATGTATTAGCAACCATAGTGGCTCCACCTGCCCTCAGTGAATGCAATCCGAGATTTGCATCCCCACATACTTCTTTCAACAAAGAAATTACCCTCTCTCTAGCTGTCGTGTAACTTAAAGGTTTGTCTTTCCTTATAAGCGCACTAACTCCTTTAGACCTGTATGCCGGTTTAAAGAAAAAATGATTGGAATCTAAATTAGAAATCCGAGCCACATTGATATACTTCTTTACCATTTTGACCGGACAAGCTTCTGTCACACCGGCACTAATGACTACACTTTTACCTTGTCTATACTGATCTGTCTTACTCTTAGCAATATTAAGAGAAATATAATCATCATAAATTGACACATCATTACACTTCAAAGATCTTGCTTCATCATATCTAAGAAACCCCGTGAAACACAAAATTAATAATGTTAAGTCTCTGAGCAAAATTGCGTCCTCTGTATGAACATGCTTCTTACATAGCTCTTTAACTTGATCTGAAGTAACTGGATCTTTCTTGTTTACTTTTTTCTTGCATTGCCGTTTGGCAGATTCCAACAAATTCTTTACAAAACAATTGTCTTTGGGATCCCTGAACCCTCTAAGACTATGAGCCCACTTAATGGCGTATACAGCACCTTCTATGACACTCGATGAATGTCCTTTGTCAATAAGATGAGTCACATATAGGGCGACGTGAATAGATTCAGCTGGAAGAGAATTCCCTCCTTCTGCACTGATGAATAGATCCCATCGGTTAAATGCTGCGAAATACTTCTTGTTTGTGTTTTCGCTTCTCGATTTAATGATATGCGATGACATCTGTTCTGCCAGTTGGATGAACTTTGATGACGTAACTTGAGCTCGCTTCATCTCTTCCTTAACGGCGGTCCTTACACCTAGTGCTGTATGAAAAAATTAAAAACAAATCAAAATGCAATTTCCATTGCAACCATACCGAACCTGTATCTCTGATTACCAAAAATACCGTTATTTCCTCTTCCTTTCTTCGTTATGCCAGAATCAAAAAATTCAACTTCCCTAATAAAGTGCACAAACTCCCCATTATGGCTTATTTTGGGCCAAAAAGGCGCAGATTTCCAAACTGGTACAATGAGAGTACCTTGCGCTTTTTCCTTCATTATTTTTACTATAGTCTGTCCGACTAGTCTTGGTGGCGGCACCCACCAATTTCTGCCTTCCTTCCAACTTTGGCTGAAAGCATCAATACGGTTTGTTTGGCTACACCACCATCTGGAGTTGAATTTTGTACATTTAGCATTGTACTCGTTAGCAAATCTATCGATATCATATGGACCCCATTTCGAATCCAAGTATCCGAATATCTCATCTGTGATATACCAATCATCACTATCTCCTCTCCTACTTAAATTATCAGCTTTGCAATTTGTTTCTCTCCTTATCCATACTGGATCTACAGTAATATTGCTAGATTCACATTTATTATGAATACTGATAGCCTGTTCTTGCAATTCACTCTTCTTACTGCCCTTCTTTAGTATAGACACAACATTCTTATTGTCTGTGTTCAACTGAACATTCTGCCCCTTCAGTTCTCTTTCAAATGAAAACAAAGTTCGTTTCATGGCTTCTAATTCTCTCCAAGTGGAGCTCTTAACGGCTTCTACGTTTGACCAACTGCCCACAAGCTCTAAATCTTCTTTCTCGGCTACAAATCCGCCGAAACCTGTTTCAGAAGCATCGAACATGGTATATGCGACAAACGGCAACCTCTTTATCTCTATCCCGTTTATTCTTTCAACATGGTGCAACCAGAATTTCAATTCGTCTTTTGCTTCTCTTCCGACCTTTATCGGTGCCTGCCAACTGGCCTTCGTGTTCAGACTGTTACAAATATTCCTTGTTCTTATTTGAACTATTTGACCCATTGCGGTGTGCATTGAGCTAATTTGACCTGCTACTCTAGCCAATTCCTTCACATGCACTATGTCGTTATTACTTTGCATCCTGTCTAATAGATTCTCTATGTTCTTCTTCAACTTCCCCTCTCTGTCTCGTTGTGGGATTCCAATTGCATTTTTCCTCCGCTATTAGAAAACCCAACTGTTTTAACTCTTCCCTGATCTGTCTGCTTAGTGTAATAGCAGACATCCTATCTTTGCAAATTACCAAGCCATCATCCAAATACATAATCACATTATTTCCCTGCGATCTCCAATGAGCAATTACAGGTCTTGTCAATTTTGTGAAAATATAACCTGCTGTGGAAATACCAAATGGTAGAACATTGAATATGAAATATCTTTTTTGATCTTCGTAATCCCAAGAGAAACCTAGATAGGTTCTGTGTTCTCTGAATATCTCAACATGATGGTAAGCAGATTTCAAGTCAAAAGTGAACATATAATCATCTTCTTCTATCATTTCCTTTGCTATATCCTCACCTTCATATCTTACCTTTTGCTTAAAAAGATGTGGATTTATGTTTCTACAATCCAGAACTAATCTCGGTTTTTCTTTGTTTCCTGCAACTGTCAGTGGATTTATTACTTCAGGTTTTTGGAAAACTTCAGTAACACATCCTTTCCTTGTTAGATTCTGTATTTCCTTTCCTACAAATTCTGCATTTTGAATAGCAGACCTATTATTCTTACTTTCGGTTTTCTTGGGGCGAGTTATGAATGGTATTTTATACCCTTCAGAAATGATATCCAATATGAATTCGTTAGTTCCGATTTCTTTCCATTTATCTTTTGCCGATTTAAGCCTTCCAACCGGAGTAACAACTTTGCAATTCTTTTCAGAATTTATCCTTGACTCTGTGGAGTCATTCTTGTCTGCAAATGCATTCCTCTTATAAACCTTCATATCATTCAACTGAATATCAAATGAATTTTTACTTATCTTTTCATTTCTTGCTTCTCTGCTTGATGCCAGCTCCCTGCATTCGAACCTCCAATGCCCGAATTTACCACAGGCGAAGCATGCTCCCGTTTTCCTCTTGAAATCCCATCCCTCTGTCTTGGAGCTAGGATTTGACCATGGCCTTGAAGACTGCTGAGATGCTGGTTGACGATCTGTTGGATAGGGACGTATCTGGTTGCGTGAAGCCTTCGAGGCGCTTGATTCATCTTGCGTTTCGCTCTGGCCTCCGCCTTCCAGATTCTTTTCTCGTCGTCCGAATCCCGAGCGAGGCTATTGGTTTCATATTCAGAAACTGTAAGCCATCCGAAAGGTGATTGATCAGCAAGCTTGATGATTTTCTGCCTATGCTCTAAAATGTCTTTACCTTCGGCGATTTTGTTCTGTGCTGCCGTAGAAGCTCTGCTCAAATCTGCGTCTTTCTTCAGCAAAGATTCTGCTTCAGACAACTTCTGATAAACCTTGGTATTGCTCTTGTACTGCTCCTCGTTTCCCTTCTTTTTAAACTTGTACGTCGTGTTGGTTATTTCCTCCATCTTTGATAGCTGTACTTCGCTCATAGCCATTTGTGAATCGTTTATGTCCTTCTGGAAATGATTAAGCTTATCTGAAACAAGCGTTTCTAATTTATCCAGTAATGTATTCTGTGAATCCCTCACTTCGCCGCGGACAAGCTCGGCAATGTCCATCGGCTCCATCGTATAATAGCTGTCGCTCCTGGCTCGGTCCCCGTAGTCGTGTCGTGTATCTAGTGTCTGACAAAGCTAGAATGGCTACCACGCCCATTTCCCTCTCTTATTATGCCTTTCTGAACATTCCTTTCCTTCTCAATACAATAACTTACACCTGCCTAAGTTATTCAAACCATCCCGCTTCGCGGAATCGTGGCGTCTCGCCACTCCCATTACGTAATCATTAAACGGATCCGCATATACAACATTTTCCTGCTATACGTTGTAGCGCAGGAAAATACAATTCCTGTTTAAAATGAAAACATACCTTAAAACTGTACCTCATGAATATTAATGGTCTTCGATCATTCTCCTCTCTTTCTACTTTTCATTTTCTACTCTTTTTTTTCTAAACCAATCTTTAGTATATTCTCTATAAATTATAATCAACTTTTCTTTCTTTCAATTCAATACTTTCATTTAAGGATGGGTTTGCTATTAAGCCAGGGCCTAGATTGTTAGTTGTGATATGGCTACAATGTAGTTTTAACCTTGGGCTAGCAGATTCATGTTGATATAGTATGATGGGGGGGTTGAGTGTCTGGGTTTTCTTCATGAAAAATGTTTGTATAAAAGAAAGTGGCCTCAAAAAAGGATGGGTGGGTGGGGATGCTAAACATGATTTTTGATTTTTGATTTTTCGCCTTATTTGTTTACAACCAGAAAAAAGAGCCTTCTAATTTGCCTACAGAAATACAACTCCACCCCCCCCCCCCCCTCCCCCACTGATATTCCCCCTTTCTCCTTTTTATTTTCTAATGAGCAAGATTGACAGCTTGACCCTCTCATTTATACTCATTCACCCATTTTCATGAATGAACACTAATTGTTATGCCTCCGCCACCGAAGGTGGTGCCGGAGGCATCATGTTTTCGGGTTGTCCATCCGTACGTCCGTACGCCTGTTCCGTTTGACCGTTATCACAATATCTCAAGAACCATTTAAGATTTAAACTTAAGACTCGGGAATAGTATTTATCAGCATAGGAAGACGATCTGATTAGATTTTGGAGTATGTAGGTCAAAGGTCACAGGTCACAGAGGTCAACTTATGAAATTCCTTGTATTGAGTTTGTTAGCGCGATATCTCAAGAACCATTTGAGATTTAAACTTCAAACTTAAGGATAGTATGTATCACCATAGGAAGACGATCTGATTAGATTTTGGAGCACGTATGTCAAAGGTCAAGGGTCACAGAGGTCAACTTATGAAATTCCATACATTGAGATTGTTATCATGATATCTCAAGAACCACTGGAGATTTAAACTTCAAACTTAGTGATAGTGTGTATCACTATAGGAAAACAATCTGATTACATTTTGGAGCACGTAGGTCAAAGGTCAAGGGTCATAGAGGTCAACTTATGAAATTCCATACATTGAGATTGTTATCATGATCTCAAGAACCACTGGAGATGTAAAAACTTCAAACTTAAGGATAGTATGTATCACCATAGGAAGACGATCTGATTAGATTTTGGAGCACGTATGTCAAAGGTCAAGGGTCACAGAGGTCAACTTATGAAATTCCATACATTGAGATCGTTATCGCGATATATCTCAAGAACCACTGGAGAATTTTCACTTCAAACTTAATGATAGTATGTATCACCATATCATAATATCTCAAGAACCACTGGAGCTTTAAACTTCAAACTTAATGATAGTGTGTATCACCATAGGAAGACAATCTGATTAGATTTTGGAGCACGTAGGTCAAAGGTCAAGGGTCACAGAGGTCAACTTATGAAATTCCATACATTGAGATCGTTATCGCGATATATCTCAAGAACCACTGGAGAATTTTCACTTCAAACTTAATGATAGTATGTATCACCATATCATAATATCTCAAGAACCACTGGAGCTTTAAACTTCAAACTTAATGATAGTGTGTATCACCATAGGAAGACAATCTGATTAGATTTTGGAGCACGTAGGTCAAAGGTCAAGGGTCACAGAGGTCAACTTATGAAATTCCATACATTGAGATTGTTATCATGATATCTCAAGAACCACTGGAGATTTAAACTCCAAACTTGATGATAGTACATGTATGTATCACCATAGGAAGACAATCTGATTAGATTTTGGAGCACGTAGGTCACAGGTCAAGGGTCACAGAGGTCAACTTATGAAATTCCATACATTGAGATCGTTATCGCGATATCTCAAGAACCACTGGAGAATTTTCACTTCAAACTTAATGATAGTATGTATTACCATAGGAAGACGATCTGTTTAGATTTTGGAGCACGTAGGTCAAGGGTCACAGAGGTCAACTTGTGAAATTCCATGTCTTCAGCTCGTTATCGCGATATCTCAAGAACCATTTGAGATTTTAAACTTCAAACTTAAGGATAGTATATATATCACTATAGGAAAACGATCAGATTAGATTTTGGAGTACATGTATGTCAAAGGTCATAGAGGTCAACTTGAAAAATTCAGACTACATGTATAGGACTTGTCATGATATGTCAAGAACCACTTGAAATATGTTCCGTTACTTAACCCGTACTTAACTGGGCTATTTTGAGCACCTCCCTGACTGGGGGGGGGGGGGGAGGGGCCGATTGCCTCGAAATTTGGCACGCGTCTTGAGAAATTGCGCAAAAGAAGAGACCTCACTATTATTTTGCTGAAAATTGCTTATTTTATCAATTATGCTAATTTATGCAATTGCATAAAGGAAGAGACCTCACTATAATTTTGCTGAAAATTACTTATTTTATCAATTATGCTAATTTATGCAAATCAAATTCATTAAAATTGCTTTATGGTGGAGGCATCATTTTCGACTGCGCGCAGTCAAAATTCCATCTAGTTTGTAATGGATTTATCCCAGTGAAATGGATTCTATTTTAACTTTTTTAGTATAATTTACTGAGGAACAACAAAAATAATTTCTTGTCCTCCCAGGGAAAAGGAAAAATTTACATGAGTAGGCCTATAATTGTGCTTCTGTTTAGAAAATTAAAACATCAAGTGTTTTCAGTTATACTGTGAAAAACAATTCCACACACAGAATGTCATGTTTTGTTGACAGTGCACTTTAATAAAATTTAATTGTACTGTAGAAATCAATGAAAGCTTTTCACAAAAGGTCCTTTTGAATTAAGAGTTGCAAAAACTTTTACCTGTTTTCTATATCAGCTCATTTTTTATATTAGAAATAAAATTATTTTGAATATTCATAGAAATCAATAAGTTTAATTTACAAACTCCAAGTTTCATAAAATCGGTTACATCAGCTCATTTTTATTCATGTATACAAATGTGAATGAAACTGCCTAATTTGCATACCCCTTGATATGACGTCATATTTTTATGACATCATTATAGCTCGCTCTTGCGCAACATATGCCAGCCTGTTTATCATTTTGTGTGATACGATCAATTGTATTGCGTGATAGTGCAGTCAAATTTCATTAGAATTAGGACCAATCAAACATTGTTTGGTCTTGCCTGTGGAACACCGCATTCGTGTGGAACTATTAGTGGATAATCTGACTTCTTTTATGAGGAACAAAGTGTATATTTATGATATGAAAGATGATATTGTGCCCGGTTTGTTCATGATTTGACACGTGTGGTTATAATGAACAATCAAAGATCTAGCTTATACAGGATGTATATACTGGTACTGTGCATTAAATGTGCCTCGTGCACGTGCATTGAATGCAAGTACAAAAATTTACAGGAAGTAAAGGAAAACTTGTGTTGACATTGACTTATTATAATATTCTGTGATAGAGCTCCACCCCCCCCCCCCCCCTATCAAAAATGGGTCAAGATTAGACTGGGAATCTATTGTTGAGGTGACATTACACTTTTTGCAAATGAATTATAAAGTTCTGCTTTGATGCTATTTCGGAGGGGTTCTATTTTAGTTGATATAGAGTGACTCCCAGATAACAATACGACGTTACGCCAACGTGGGGCCAATGTAAGCTGTTACGTTGGTCCAACGTCGCCAACATGATGTTGGGCCCACGGCTTTCTTGCCGGCGGGCCAACGTTGGCCCGACAGTGACAAAATGACATTAAGCCAACATCGGGCCAACGTTATGCCGACCCCTATCCGACCATATGTGCCGATGTCCTCCCGACATTGAACCAACGTTATGCCAACCTCTTTTCCACCGTATGCCGACATCTTTCCGACATTGGACCAACGTCGTCCCAACCCTTTTTTAACCATGTGCCGACGTATGACCAACGTTATGCCAACCCCTATCCCACCATGTGCCGACGTTGTTCCGACATTGGATAAACATTATGCCAACCCTTATCCCACCATGTGCCGACGTCTCCTCGACATTGGCCCAACGTTATACCAACCCCTTTTCAACCATGTGCCAACGTCTCCACGACGTAGGGCCAACGTTATTCCAACCCCTATCCCACCATGTGCCGACGTAGTTCCGACATTGGACCAACGTTATGCCA